GCAGCCTGTAGCGCTCCTCTCATAACCTCAGCTGCTTGGGCGTGTGGGCTGTTTCTGGCGTGTCACCAGCGTCTGCTGAGGTCCACGTCGTTTCGTGTGTCGCTTATTGCTCGGTCCAGGTGGTCACCGCCGATGGTGGTGTTTAGCCAGCGCAGATCGTCCAGGTCTACCACCGTGTTCTGTCCTATCGTGATCGTCGCGGTTGGTCTGCTCACTGGGGGACCCCTCCAGAGCGGTGGTGGGTGCGCGTTCGGGTCTTCGTGATAAAGCTGCGGTGGGAACCAACCGTCCAATCGTCCCTCTGGGCAAGTCCTAAGGACGCGGCGTATTTTTTGGCAGGCATTAAGGGCCCAGGAGTCTGGCGCGGAGCAAAGTAGGGCAAGGGAGGCCACTGCTGTGCGCAGTTGCCACTCGCCTCCAAGGTCTGCCCTGTCGATGGAGCCGTCGTTGGCCCAGATCTCAGCCAACCCAGAGGCTTGGGCCACCATGTGTCTCCAGACTCCCAGGAGTTCGCCCACGAGCCAGGTCGGGGTGAAATCAGTGGGGCCTGGTTGAGCTGGGGAGTATAGGTGCTCTGCGATTGGTGCATGCCGCATGCCTGCCCTGACCAGCTGTAGTGGCAAGGTGCTATCAAGAAGGTCGAGTGGGTGCCTGTTGAGTGGCTGTTCCGTGTCGGCGCTGGGGTGACCCTGGTGGGGGTCGCCCGAATGTCGCTCGGCCCCGTTATGGCTCCACGGGCTGGCCAAATTCTGGCAGGTGATGCAGTGTCGGCCCGTAGGGTCTCGAAGCATCCACGACCCGCAGAAGTCGCACCGTTGAGTCGGGCAAAAGAAGTCCTGTAGCAGCAGGCGGTGCGCCGTGGTGGACCAGGGCCATGCGTTGTCATTTCTGTCGCCACCTTGGATCGCTACCCCAGGGATGCCCATTGAGCTGGCCGTTACTCCTGTTAGGGCTGGCTCTGCCCATGGTACTGGGCCTCTACCTGCTTTTCGTCTCGAGTGTACATCGTCACCAACCCGCTCGAGATTGCCCCTCCTGATGGCCCACTGTCTGACGTCCCCGTGGTCCGGAAAGTGAACTATGTTTTGCCTGCGCTCATGGATTCGGACTCTATATGCGTACGCCCTGGTTTCTTCGTCCATGGGGTCCTGGGTGCCGTCTGGTCGGTTCGGGCCGCTACTGTGCGCGGGCACAGCGTCGCAGGGGGGCCTGGTGGGCGAGAGCATGCTGTCTGTGTCGTATCCATTCGGAAGTTCCATACCTATGTCGCAGTGGTGTGCTGCGGTCGCCATGGCGGCGTACTCGGGACGCGCTAGTTGCCTTTCCGCCACGGAGGGATCGTCTGCGTCCAGTCTTTCCCTCCTTACACTGGGGTCATGGGTGGTACTCGCGAAGCGGAAGGCTAGCACTTGCGTCGGGTCTGGTTGCGCACCCCCGAGGCGTCCTTCGTGGTCTCTTCCCGTGACTGACCAGACTAGCCAGGAGAGGTCCAAGATGGCGAGGGTTGGTGCCGAGGTGGCTCGTTGCGATCCGAGCCCACGGAGGAGAGCTTCGTTTGGAACTGCTCGCAGGGGGCTGCCTACCCGTATGCCTGGATGACCAGGGCGGTGCCCCCTCCACGCGTGGTGAGTGAGGAGCTCCAGGTTCCTGGTTTCGCGTGGTGTTCTCGGCGCCCCTCGATCGGGAATTTCACGCCAGGGGCCGTCGATACGCACTAGGTGGCGACGGAGGGCATTCATGGTGCCTCCCCTGCCAGTGACCCTAGCGTCAGCAACGCGCGGCCCACACATGGGTCCGTCAGCCTCTCGACTGGCTGCCCAGTCTGCGTTCGTGTGCCCAGTGGCGTCCATCCATCGAGCGTGCAGGTCGGTTGCGTACTGTCCCCTGTCTCTATGGGCCTGGCTGGTGCCATCCTCGGCGTCCGAGGGGGCGCCCTGGTTTTCCCTCCGCAGTTCCTCCTCCAGGGCTAGGTCAGGAGAAGGGTAGGGGAGCGGGGCGGGCGTGACGGGCGTTCTGGGAGCCGCGCGCCTCAACACGAATGCTGAACCGTTGGCAGTCCTGATGAGGGGTCCACGGTCCAGTCCTTGGGACGGGTCTTCGCAGCCGTGGCCACTACCGCCCCGAACGACGTCTGGATGCTCTGGCCCAGGGGGTGAGTCGGGAGAGGAGTGGATGGGAGGGGAGCGGGTCGGCGAGGAAAGGGAGACGCAGGGCGATCCCGCGACGACGATCGGAGGTCCGATGTGATCGATCAGATCGACCAGGGAGCCTGTCACGCCGGCGGGGTCTGCGGAGACCCTGCCGGCATCGGGCGTGCGGAGTCGGCCCGCAGACAACGCCATCGTCGTGACCAGGGAAGGTTGGTCGCGGTCGGTCGTTTCAACATTATCAGCAGTGGGACGTGCCGCTCTGTAACCCCTGTCGCCCAACCCAACTGTCTCCTGCTCGCTTCTTCCTGGCTGAAGGCCAGTCCCGTCGGTGAGGTTAGCGGCGTGGGAGCTGGGCGCTGCTGCTGTAGCGGTGTCCATGTCTCCAGGGAGGGGAGCGGCGGTGTCATGGCGGCAGCCAAATGGTCCGCTTGTACCGCTGGCTGCGCCAGCCGCGCGGTCCTCGAAGTGTCTCCTCTGTGACGGCCCCGTTGTGGGGCCAGTCTCCTCCATGACTACGTCGGTGGGGTCGGTCGGTCGCCCGCAGCTGGCTTGGGGATCCACCTGATGGGGGAGGCCCTGAGTGGATTCACCAGGGATGGCAGGAGGGTCGGTGCCGTCGCCACTCGTGGTCACAGCCTCTGCGGCGCTCTCGGCGTCCACTGGCGCCGTCTCTGGTTCTCGAGCTGAAGGCTCGTCCCTTCTGTGATTGTCAGATACGCCTTGGAGCCTCGAGCTGAAGGCTCGTCCCGCATGAGAATCCCGAGCTGAAGGCTCGCCCCGTCTGCGACTGTCCGACTGGGGGGCGGGTGACGGACGGGAGTCCTCGGGATTACGGGAGTGACCAGGGTGTTGACTGGTCGCCGCGTCGCCGTCGGCGCCCACTTGTCCGTTTGAAGCATCCCGAGCTACAGACTCCCCCAAACCTGCTGTCTCGCACGGCGCTCCCCGGGCTGAAGGCCCATCTTCTGTGTGTACCACGCTGCTGCATCCAGGGAGGGCGGCGGGCGGAAGGCGAAAACCGTCTTGACGTCGGCTCGCGTCCGCGGGGGGAGTCGGCTGCACGACTGGGGCGCCAGCCTCCACGGTTAGAAGATTGGCCCCTTCGCAGCTGAAGGCTGCTTCTCTCGGCGTTGAAGCGTCCAAGGGAGGGCGCTCGGCGGAGTGGAGGCGCGAGCCCATAGGATGCGGATCGGGGACATGGGCAGGCGACTGCCCGCCCCCCCTCCTATCGTAACCGCGGTCACCCCCTTGGGTGGCCTCAACCCTAGGCCACCCGCCCTCGTCGGTGAGGCTCCTGGGCCGATCGTCGAGAGCGCCTCTCTGGCGGGCGCTCCTGCGCGGCCAGAATGGGCCTGAGTCTCTCGAGGGATGCTCTTCATCGGGAACGGGGCGATCTCCGAGAGCGCCTCTCTGGCGGGAGCTCCTGCGCGGCCAGAATGGACCTGAGTCCGTCGGAGGATGCACTTGATCAGGAGTGGGGCCAGCGCCCCCCGTGGTCCTGGTATCGCCGTGGGCGATCCAGTTCTGCCCTTCACCGCCAGGAGAGAAGGAAATTGGACGCCCAGCCAGGGGCAGAGGGAGTGTCGGGGTAAGGGGGGGAAACAAGTCCGGCGGGAAGGAGTCGTTACTGCCAATGTCAAACCCAGGGAAGCGACTGAAGGTCGCAATATCAGTGTGTCTCGCGGCGCTAACCGTGGCACCCCCTCATCCCGTCTGGCTGAAGGCCGATGGTTCTCGTGTGTATGCAAAGTCGACGGGAACGATCAAGGGGTCCGCGGACGCGTTCGGACCGCCCGCGCTCGGAGGGTCCCAGGGAGCGAGGGGCGACGGCTACCCTGGCGGGATGGTGTCCTGTGATCCTGGGGGAGGATTTCTTGAACCAGCCAGTCCGTGGGCCCCCTGGCCGTCGACTGGGCTTGCATCGTCACCCGCGGGGTTCCCAGGAATCCTAGATCCGTCGTCGATCGGGTTCCCATCCATGCTAAGCCTGACCTGCAGGCTGGCTGCCGCGCCGCGCCGCAAGGGCGAAACCCAGGGAGTCTGATATGGCCGGAGCGCGGCCCGGGGGGCAGCGCGCGGCCCGCAAACTCCTAGGGGATGACCCCTTGAGCTGGGAGACCCGGCCGAGAAGCCAGGGCCCAGAGACGGCTTGAGCCAAGGCTACGGAGGCTTGTGGGGATACGCGAAGCGTCAACAATTTCAATTTTGATGGACGCTCGCAGCGCGGTCCGCGGGGTCAACCAAGCAATTGCAGTCGCCAGGGTCGGCGTCAACACTGAAATTGGGGGCCCAGGGGCGTCGCCATGTCATGGGAAAAACTTGCGCTTGATTTCAAAGAGGGACATAGGACGAGGATACATTTGTGTCCAAACGTTCCGGAACGCTCTCAGAGCGTGCCGAAACTTTTTGAGAAGGCCGCGGCGCCCGAGACATCCTCCAGAACCGCCGGATCTTAGAGATTACCGGCGTATCCTCACCCAAATTGATACTCGTCCTGACCTCGCCTCGCAGGAGGGCAAGGAGGTGAACGCCGACCCGTTTGCCCACGACACGGGCGCGGACCCCCTTGCTTCTTAGAAGGCACAGGCCTTGCCTGTAGGGCCAGAGCCTTCTAAGTAGCAGCCTCCTTCTAAGAAGCTTTCTTCCCTTCCCCTGCCTCCTTGTGCGCGGCCGCCAAAGAAGCGACGAACGCACCGAGAAATCGTCTATTATAAGCTCCGTGGCGGGCGCTCTCTGGCCATACCGCTCGGGAAACGATGCACTATCAGACGGGCGTGTCTAATGTTAGGGTGGGACGCGCGCCTTCAAGGAGGACGCTGTTTTAGTATGTCCTTGTGCGTCCCACTACAGGAGGGCAAGGAGGTGAACGCCAATCCGTCCGCCTACGACACGGGCGCGGACACCCTCGGCACCTTTGCGCCGGCGCTCGTGCAGGCGCGGGCCGCGCCCGTCTTGGCCGGTCGGTGTCCCGCGCGGGCCTCCCGCGGAGGCCTTGGGGGGGAGGCGGTTGTTCCGCGTCGCCCGAGGGGCGGCCCGAGGGCCCTCGCGAGGGGTGCCGAGTGTGGTCGTGGCAGTCCTATCATGGTGGTTGGTACTACTACGACGACTGCCACTCTTAGATAAGTAGTAGTAGTAGTAGTAGTAGTAGTAGTAGTAGTCGTAGTAGTAGTAGTCGTAGTCGTAGTCGTAGTCGTAGTCGTAGTCGTAGTCGTAGTCGTAGTCGTAGTCGTGGTCGTAGTCGTAGTCGTAGTCGTAGTCGTAGTAGTAGTAGTAGTAGTAGTAGTAGTAGTAGTAGTCGTAGTCGTAGTCGTAGTCGTAGTCGTAGTCGTAGTCGTAGTCGTAGTAGAAGTAGTAGTAGTAGTAGTAGTAGTAGTAGTAGAAGAAGTAGTAGTAGTAGTAGTAGTAGTAGTAGTAGTAGTAGTAGTAGTAGTAGTAGTAGTCGTAGTAGTAGTAGGAGCAGCAGCAGCAGCAGCAGCAGCAG